TTCGATACCATTTTCGTGTTTGTGGCATTTCCACAAAATGTACTGTCTGACCTCGTAAACTGATCTCGGATTCGTTTGTAGACAACTTATTTCATATGCTCATTAATTTATGTCACCGCTTTCTTATGCATTACTCGATTTATTTTCTTTTTATCTTTCACACTAGTGATTGGCTGTTTCTTGATATGCGCGGTGTGGCTGCGCTTAATGTGCATGTTGACAAGGTGCCTACCTGTCTATTACCCACTACCTCGTCCATACTGGCTCTAGGACACAGTTGATCGTTGCTGGATAGGACGGGGTGCACGGTCCTTCCGTGTTAAGATCAAAGAGTGGTTCCATGCACTCAGTGTGGAGCGGACCACGGTCCAGTCAACGCCTTGTGTGCGCGTGATTCCCAAATACAGTGTGTTTGTGTTTGACTGTGAAGGAGTGTGTTCGGTCTTCGTTGATGAAACGTGGCTCCCATCCACATGCCTCCTGGTCTTATTCCTTCGGGCTTACGCATGATATGGGATGTGTTGTTTGGAGCTGTGTGTGGTGCAGTGCAAGCCACCCGTGGTCCGTCTGTAGGCGCAGGCGCCCTGTGGGTGGCCACAGTGACAGGCAAATCGGAAAGCGGATGCTGCCAACCATATAGATAACATTTGCCCAATAATCATATGACAGAGTGCCACAACGCATGAGTAACAATAACGAAATGTGAGAGTGAGTAAGAGGAATGGGAGCAAAGTTCCATGTGTTGTGTGGACATTGAACTTCTGGTTCCCCAGGCCGAGGCAAAGGGTTGACTTAAGGGACCACACCCTTAGCCTTTGGTCTAAAGATCTGACCCGCAATGCAGCCGGGTAATTCACGAAGACCGTTGACAGCCAAGTGGCTCATTCGCCTTCTTTATGTTCGGAAGCAGTCTATAAAGAAGCCGGTGGGCAGCGAGGTTGTTTATCCGCCCTCCAGTAGATACTCACCACCAGTTACAGGAGTGAGTGGTCAGTGACCCTATAGCCGGTCACATGGGCTTTGACACAGCGCCGTACGAGCACTTGTGGTATTTAATGGAGAACCGGGTGACCAGCCCAGAACTCCCCACGCTCTGAGACGCTGCCACTGACTGTCCGCGACTGCTTATTCATCTCGCCCGCAAGGCAAACGAGACTTATTCGCAGTTATCTCCACAAGGAAGGTATTCCTCCATCCGCGATCTGGGGACACGCTCGATAGCATACAGCCCCGCCACGGGGAGTATTACTTGCACCACTGCAACTAGTGAAGGTGGATTCACATTAAACCTTGCCATTTCGACTTGTGTGCGGCTCCATGCTGTTGTTTATTCCGGTGCCCAATTTTCCGATGTATTTCTGCTCGTTGGGTCAATGTACTCATAGATGCGATGTTTCATCTAAGTCTGATGTGCCAAGCAGCACTAGACGGATTAGCATTGGCTATCAGCCGTTTCGGGCGTTACATTGCACTCTGGAAGTCCAAAGCTTTCATCTCAGATTTGCCGGGACCTACTCTTGCGCTGACTCTTGTCAGTAATCAGCTGTAAGTCGTTCGGAAATTCAACTATCTGGGTAGTTGTATCTGTGTCACAAACCATATAGCTAAAGCTCGAGGGATTTTTGCTACCTATGGCGCTGGATCGACATCACCCTCTCCCTGAAGTGTAGAGTTTGCAATGCATCCGTACGTTCGACCCTAATGTACGGTTATGGAACCTGTTCCATTAGACAGGCAAACGTAAAGAGGCTGGGTTCGTTCGATCTCCGGTGCTTTCGCAGTTTGGCTCATGTTTGGAGCGAACGCCGCACGAACAATGAGCATGTTCGGCGTCTTGTCTTTGACACAAGAAAAGGAAGTGAACCCATCAGCACTGTTATATCACGCACCAGGCTCCGATGGCTAAGCCACCTGTTGCGTATGCCAGCACACCGACTTCCGTGACGTGCGTTATTTACACTGCGGGGTTGTGCATGTAGGAAGAAGAGGGGTGGCGAAGCAATGACTTGGTCAAGAGGAATGAACGCCCTTAGTTCGATGTTATCAATGGATGGAGGTGAGGTCCTCTGCAAAGCATTGACCTCTCTATTCGAACGTATCTGGAACGAAGTGTCCCGGCTAATTGGAGCGAATCGATTATAGTGGCAATATACAAGAAGGGCAGTCGCACAGACTGTGCGAACCACAGGGATATTAGCCTAACGCCAGTTGTGACAAAATTACTGGCCTCGATTATCGTTCGTCGTCTCACTGCAGAACGGGAATCTCGGAGTAGAGAAGAGCAGGCCGGTTTTCGCCCAGGACGTGGCTGTATAGACCATATATTTACTTTGCGGCAGGTGCTAGAGCAGCGCCAGGCATACCGCAGACCGACAATAGCTGTGTTCCTCGATTAGAAGAGTGCGTTCGATTCAGTCGATCGATCGATTCTGTTCGAATTACTTGCGCGAAAAGGTGTTCCCACGAAATATGTGAACATCCTTCGTGCTCTATACTCGAACACTACAGGCCGCGTCAGGGTCTACGGTGTCCTATCGGATAGCTTTTCGGCTACAAGTGGTGTTCTTCAGGGTTGTCTGATTTCCCCGTTTTTGTTCAATTTCGTCGTGGATTCTATCATGGAGTGTTCCCTTGCGGAATCTCACGATGTAGGCGTTGAAGTGCTGCCTGGTGAAAGGTTAGTTGATCTAGATTATGCGGACGATATCGTCTTGCTTTTCGGCAATGTTGAGGCGGCGCAATCAACCCTGAATAGCCTGTCCAGAGTGGTCCCATTAGTTGGTATGCACTTCACACCTTCAAAGTGCAAAGTGTTGCTGCAGGACCACCAGCCACTTGATGACCCCTAACGAGGAACTCGAGGTGGTTGATCAATTCACTTATCTTGGCAGCTGCATCAGCAATGATGGGCGCATAGAAACTGACGTGAGCTCACGCATTGCAAAGGCCAGAGCTGCCTACTTGAACCTGCATCATCTTTGGCGACAGAAGGGAGTTTCCCTTTGTCTGAAAGGCCGTGTATACAAGGCGACAGTAAGGGTCGTTCTGCTCTATGGTAGTGAAACTTGGCCCCTTCGATCTGAAGATCTGAGGCGCCTTCAAGTCTTTGATCATCGTTGTTTGCGGAGCATTACTGGAGTCTGATGTCACCAGGGCGTCCGCAGCGATGATTTGCGTAGGCGAGTACTAGGTGGTGATACTCACGCTAGCTCCTAAGAACAACAGCTAGCACTGAATAAGTTGCGTTGGCTCGGGCACGTGCTACGCATGCCTGGTCTCTGCTTACCTAGGAGGGCGTTGTTCAATCTACCAGGTGTCGGATGGCGCAAGGCTCGAGGTGGACAGAAGTTGACTTGGCAGCAGGAAACGAAGTCACTGACAACCAAACTGAGTGCCGTTTGTCCGTCTCGCCTTCCGGGTTGGAGTCCACGTGACTCACTTTGTGTTTGGCTCGAGACTTTGCAGGACATGGCTCGCAACCGACACCAGTGGCGCGTCTGCTGCCGTCTTCTAATCGGATTGCCTGTTTAAAGTGTGTTTGGTGCTGAGTTATCTGCGGGATAATGGCTGATTATGACGCGTGGCAATGAAAGCCGATGCCGCCTTATCTTTGCACGATAGCCAGCTGTTTGTGATAGTATGTTGTCTACACAAGGTGTAGACGCCTTGACCCAGAATGTTTGCTTAGGGCATTAAGGTTTTCAAGTAAGTCCCCCTTCTCTCCCTCTTCTTATTCTTTATTTCATAGGTCCTCATGGTTGTATGGCAGCGAAGCATCAGTTCAAATGGCTGATGTACTGCTGTTGATGATGATGATGTTATCGTCTATTGGAGCCTCTCGGTTTCCTGGTTGGGGCCCCGAAGACGTTGACCACGTTTGGCTAGAACCCGACTTCAATGGCATATGTGATAGGAATTTTCTTGTCACTCCTTATGCTGCTTAGCATCCTCCTCTAACCATGATCTGATTTCTGACGCAAAATAACCTTTTTGTGGCAAAATACCGGCTACTTGCTTTCGGGAACAATGTTTATCCGTTAGTTTTGGCTCAGCTAGCGGGCCTTTGTAGCACCTTTGTTTCCTTTTTCATGTATGGGGGCACAGTAACCGTAGTTTTTCCCACCTGTAGCCAAGGTGTATACCGAATGAATGATGCGTGAATTGTCTAATTGCGGTAATCTCAACTATCTATGATTATAATTTACGTATGTTTGTATTAGATTTAACAACAATAATGCCCAACATTAGTTTTTGTATATCAGTTGACTGGACTAGTCAGTCGTTGGTTGACCTCAGTGATTCATCGGTTTCATTATTACAGTTTTCATATATCTGTTCAGTTATTGCTCTAGCTTCATCCACTTCTAGAGTACTTCGTTTATGTGTTCTCCATTGCGTTTCGACACGATTGCATTACCACTTGCTTGGCTCGCACCATCTCATATCTGCTGGTCCACTTGGCACTCGTGGATCGATATTGTGTGTCACACCACAACCCCAATCACTGTCTCACCTGTGCACGCATGCTTTGTGGTAACCAAATGTTGCGAACGGCTGACTACCGCGCAGTCGAGGAGTCGTGTGCACTTTGCGCATTGGGCTACCTATTTCTCATTTACAGATGCACGCCTAAAATTAATTTCCTTCAGATTCTCATTCTTATTTACCATCATCGTGTATTGTTCGATCCGTCCCCTTATGTGTACCATTGCACCGCGCCCGCATGCGTACGCACTCAGTTTCCAGTGCTAGATTACTTGCGCGGTCCTAATGTGGTGAAGTTAACTTATAGTTTACCTTCCCGTTTCTCTATTACACGAGCCTTAACCCCTCTGTTGATCAAAACCTTCAGCTTTTGGTACATGTCCATTCACAGTCCACCGATCTGCCCGACTTCCCTCGTGTACATCCTAAAGTTGTCACCTTTTGACTCGTTGTTTGTGATCTCTGCATGAAATTATTCGGAGGATTACCAACCACGCTCTCGTCTATTGTTTCAGCTGTCCCGACCCACATTAACAACGTCACTGTGTCAGAGATTGATTTATTACGTGAACTCGTGTTCGTGCTCAATGGGACTGGAGGCAATCTTATTCATTTCGATCAAATTAGGGACGCTTTCTGCGTAAGTAACTTTATCTCACCTGTTTTTACTCGATGTCTCATCCAACTGCAGCGTATATACAACCTACGTCGTTCACTTGCATCTCATGTTGGACCCGACTGTTTTTCAACTTGTTTTCTTGACACCACTTACGTCTCACTTCAGCAAACCTTTTTGGACTTCTGTAAATAACCAATGCATTTCAGCGTTGTGACAATTCTTGCGCCGTTTCGAAAAGACATGCTAGAATACACTCTTTCAAACCAAACATACTGCGTTCCCCTTGTGTTCAGATGTGGTGCTTTAAATTGCGGGACCTCGATCGTCTCCATGTGATCTACAGAGTTCATCCTTCTTATAAACTCGGTCAAGTCGCACTTCGTGAGTCTGAGTGAGTGTGAACGCAGTCGAACTTACGCTGTGGCTGGTCAACTGTTGCACCCCGCACCTTTCGTGCGAGAACTCGGTGTACTCTGACGCTACGACCTAAAGTCCATATATATATATATATATATGTACATAAGTGATATTAGATGCAGCTACATAGATATCTTTTCTAGGTGCTTCCAACCAGCAATCAGTAGCCATGTTCGCTTTACCGTTGCACACGCATCGATTCACGCTTTGGCCTCATCTCAACCGAAACAAAGTATTTCTTTCATTTCACTTTTTACAATGGTGTAGATAAATTGGGACTGTGTCCGCATGTTTGACAATTTCACTGTGCAGCACAACGCTTAGTTTACACAGGCAAATTATCAATGTGCTTGGGCCTTGCGAATTTACACTGTGATTTCATCCTTACTTCTATGCAGTATTTTCACCCATCTATATCGCTCAGTTCTGAGCTTCGGCTTGTGAGGACAACCGTGGTTAAGGTACTGCATGGATAATTGGAAGGTTGCCCGGATGCATTGGGCCCGCGGTCTTGTCCGGGTTCTTATTATGGTAATCTCAAGCATAACAAAGAGTTATATCTGTGGCGATGAATCTGTACCAAGTTTGAACAAATTGGAGTGCCTCATTTCCGTATTACCCATTCTGGAAAACTCAGAGGGACCACAATGCTTCGGCGATATTGAACAATACTGTTTGTTGTTGCTACGGTTACTTGTTTTATTGCCACAGACAGACATAGTGAACGTAGCCAGAGAAGTATCGTGAGTACCCGAGTTGACCGCGTATTTGAGACTTACCAGTGCCCACTCGTCCATTGCGGGATCGCTGTTTATCCTATTGGTTTGAAGACTGGATTTTCTAAGGGTGTTCCGGCGAAACAGACGAACACTAGTGCTCGCATCCCGTCAGTTCGTGCCGCCAAACGCCACATTGCTGTGGGCCTAGATTGGCTGTATTGTCATCAGCCACAAACAATGTGCGCATTTGAATGTTGTTGATATTCTCGGAGAACCTATACCACTTTCCATCAAGTCTTAGTTTACACCCGAACATTGGTTTAGCCACCGTCTTAATAGGTCTCCCAGCGTAGTGTACGCGAACTAAGCCAATTACATTATCTGTGACTGGTATATGGGGTAAAATGAACTGGCCTCTAAGTATAATCGCTTTCAATGCACGATGGAGATAGCGTCGGAAGCCACTTGTTTGTCTTGTATTAGGTGTCCGAATCCCGCCATGGTTTATGACACCTTGATTACTCTGACCGAAGCGCGAACGACGGTCCGAGCATTAGACTAAGAATAGTTATCAACAGTTGAGAAAAGTAAAAGTAAGAAAATGACGCAGCCAGCTAAGGACTGAACTACAAGAGAAAAGCAATGAACAGGCACCATTGCCAACTGGATATATCAATAGACCTCCGGGGGTGGAGGGCGCCGTGAGCCCACCAAATCATTTAAGTAATTTCTCTGTTTTTTCCCTGCGTCATCGGCTATCAAACCACGATTTCACAAGACTATGCTCAACATTCGCAAACAACACACTAAGATGGGCAGTTGAGAAGCTTACAAAGAATATGCACTAACCAACGAACTGGCACTTAGATTCCTCTGACAAGCACTAACTGATGGACCTCCCGCGTTTTACGCGTTTGGCTCGACACCGATAGACTATGACATATGGTCTCTTGAAGCTCTCATCGCACCGTGGCCCTAAATCTGATCCATAGATTAGACCGGACGACACTAAAGCGTTATACAGTTCGTCTTTAACCGATAACCTGTTATCACTATACCTCCACAGACGAACAATGCATCGTAAGGCCACTTGCGCCTAAAAGATAGTCGTGGTTCCTTTATTGAGTTTCCTATCGACCCAAGCAATTTGAGTACGGACGTTTCGTCACCATCCGAAGCGGCATCTCCAGCGCAATAAGATTGGTGGTAACGTTGCAAATATTGGTGGAAAACAACTCCGGAGATAGATGTTGCCAGGCACCATTATATTCTTCATATGTACTTTTGCTGTTCGTAGCTTTGTTCCGATTGGTTATTCGTAATGTCACACACTTGTACTTGGCTACTCGCCACTGGCTATCGGTCACTGGACAAAAGGTTAAGGCCTCTACCCTGTAGTCCACAGTTTACTGGTTCGAATATCTGCGTACATATATGTTACCTCTCGGTATCTAACCCTCGAGCGCCTGTGTTGGTCCCTTGGCGGCAAAACGTCCTTATGACGTACCGGCTTACCACTGATGCTCTTTGGAAACTATTGAGAATACCCGTAACTCGGGGTGTGGATGAGAGGATTGTCCTTTTCTCTGAGCCGGGTATTTCTGTTGCAGACGTTTCGATACCAAATCAGGCAACGTCTTCACTACGGCTATGCAATCTTGATTCACGGAGTCTCGCAAACCAATGCCAGATCCGAATGACTATTGATTGTTACCTGCTTCGAATATCTGCCTTCGATTGGTTCACATGAGTCGGTCAAGTAATCACGTTTTCTCTTATTGCTGGCTTAACCTGCAGAGCTTCGTAGACACCCTCCAGCTTCAGGGGTTTGTGGATTGAGTTCCGGCCAGAGTGCCAGACCTCCAGGAACTCACGTACTCTGCGGTTTCTTGTTTTTCCAAGTATTTCAACCTTCTCCAGATCGAACTGGTGGTCCTCTGCATCCATGTATACTTACATTAAGGATTTCTCATCGTGGCGGCGGATAGCCAGACCATGTTCGTGCAGTTTTGTGTCAAGTTTTCTTCCAACCTGGCTTATATAGTATTTGTCGCAATTCTTGTAGGAAATTTTGTATACTACACCTGATGTTTCTTCCTTACTCAGTTTGTCCTTTGCTTTAAAAAGTTTAATTAGGATGGTTTCCGTTGTTTCTTGTTCAACATTTATTCCGTGAGGCATTAGAAGCCTCCCTGCCATTTCAGAAATCCCATGGATATAAGGTAGGATAATTGTTCTTCTTTCTGTCCTACATGTGGATGCGGGTTGTGACTGCCTTTTGACATCAGGCAGCGTAGAATAAAGCTTCTAGGGTACGAATTTCGCTGAAACATGTTAAATAGGTGGTACTCCTCCGCCTTCTTCAGTCGCGGCATGCTACAATGTGTCTGCGCCTGTTTGAAAACCGTCCTCACGCAATTTCGCTTGTATTTGGTCGGATGGTTACTGCGATAGTTTAATATCTGATCGGTGTGCTTCGCTTTCCGATAAGCTGTTGGTTCCAGTAACCATTAGTACCCATATGACCAAACTCCAACCAAAGCAGAAGCTAACAAGGAAGCTGGACAGAATCTCGCAACACAAACCAGCAAACGAAGAAGGCGCATGGATTACGTATCTATCCAAACGAACCCTATGAGATAAAGAAAGATCATTTATTGTGCATGGTTTGCAGGTCAACTACAAAGATTCCAATCCCATTGATTTCCTTACCCAACTTGCATGAACGCCGACCACATCAAACATCGCAGCTGAAGCCCAACATGCAATTAGACACATCATCCCCGCTCTGAGTCACAAAGTGGAAACCAACATATTCAGTATAAGCAAACGAAAGGCAGTGACAAACCTCAGCAAAGACAAGATTATTGTTATATTACCGGCTGACAAGGGACGTCTTACTGTAAAAATGGACGAAACTGACTACATGAAGAAAGCATAATAACTGCTCGGAGATGTGAACACCTACCAGCCTCTTATTTTCGGGTAACAGATTGTGTTGTTGTTTCGAGTTGCGATTGTCACTTCGCCTGGAATTTTTTTTCCTTGATGATTGACTTTCTCACTCAGTTTGACATGAATTGTAATCGGGTCGTGAAGGTGTGCAATTCATCCTACCACATCAGGCTTCAATATTGTCGCCATAGAACCGACGCATTCTTTCAAACTGAAACATCTATCCATGGATCTTAATTCGAGCGTCCCTAGAGGTTGGGTCACAAGGGCGAGCGATGTAGACTCCAGATCGATTGATAACAATTGGCCGACCAATTTCGTTGCAGCTGTACGGTCTTACAGCCGATGTCATGCGGATAGACGCCAGACAGTCGTTCTGTTGGGGCTCACCAATACTGCACAACTCCTTCTAGTCCTTCTGGATAGGAACTACTCAACCTATAGTTATATCTTTACTCGACTATGTCATGGGTGAGGGCAGGCGCCAGTTTGGTTTTGCTATTAGCCATGATTTAGCCAATTCCGTACTGTGGTCATTCGAGCTTGTCGTGTGACACGCTGAACATTATCATCCATATAGGTTTGCAAAATGTTACCATCTGATCCGCTCAGCGAACTGGGATAATTTCTTGTGTTCCTATAGTCCTCTAGAGCTGATGCATTTGCTTTATGATAACATTGGTTTCTGTGTTGATCTACTAGCCACATTAAAATACGTCAATCTCAGAAAGCACAGATGCGAGTGCAACGACTCCACGCAAGCTTCACATGATCCGAAGAGAGTTCAGGCGTACTTGAACAGTCTGCCATCGTTGAACAACAAACATAAAATGACAAAGTTTCATGCTAGAAGAGCGCAAAGTCTGACTGGTGTGTCGAAGCTATTTCGTGTCCTCAGCTTGCCCAAAACCAACTCTTTCGATTACATCACAATACCGAATAGAACTCACGGCCAGAGGGAGCGTATGCGTGCGAGTGAAACCTATCGAGGAACTATCCTGCATGAAAGCAGGTTTCCAGAGGACAGTCCAGCGGATGGTCGTATTACTTCACTTAAAGTTTTTGGTATATTAATACCTATCTCCCTATGAACTCCGACTTTCTAATGAAGCAAACTGATCGATAACCTCCGAATAATATTTGGGGACTACCTTAAACAACTTCAGTACTCAATTATCTTATGCGACATCACTATACAAATCCAACGTACCACTTGGTGGACTGCATCTCGCTGTCTGAAATATACCGTTTATTTATTTATTTGACATGCCCAGGACAATTAAGCAAACTTTTCTAATCAATTTTCCAATATAATGTAGCTTTTCCTCAGACTTGTTGACCCGTTACAAAGACTGGCTTTACTTTCCAACCAGCGTGCAGTCATTCATGAGAATTAATAACAATAATAATAATAATAATAATTATCGTCAGGTATATTGTGTAACGGCGCTTCGCTGCCGCGCGACCGTCAGCTGTCAGGCCTGGGCTGAGTATACCGCGCGGACGCCCGTCCCTATGTGAATTCGAACCGGCAACCTTATGATTGTAAGCCAGACACGCACACCAATCCGCCACCGGCCGAGAAGGTACGAAATGGATGCGCTGCAGCGTAATGCGGGCCTTCATGCCCCGTTGTTCTTAACCGTGGATCGACATCACAGTGTCTTCGAAAAGAGTCCTACCAGATTGGCTGGTGGTTGCAAGTGAGACGGATTCGTGTTCACTGTCTTCCATGTTGGTTATAGGAAGGACAACACTGTCCGTTTGCAACTACGCTTCGCTTGAGCTTGATATATATAACCCGAATGACATAGGATGCAGGATGTTTGTTCTTCATTTCTTCCCACCGTGAACCACTGAGCGCAAATCTATTGTAGTTACCTAAAGTAAACGTTCGCGATCTCACGCGTCGTGCACTCTGCACCTATCTCATTACTTGTTTTCTGAGATCAATATTTATCTTACTCTCGACCACACTGTAGCTGCTTTTGCACTTTTCTCACGCCCTCATTGTTTGGGTGAACTACAGTACTTCGACTTGTGCAGGCAATGCAACTCTTGGGTAATGCACTGTTTTCTTGGTGTCATTTTGCAACCTTGCCAGAAGTGCTGTTTGTGTTGTTTGTTCGGTATTTGACACCACGCATTCCAAGCGTGACCTGGACACTTCGTGCAACTAAGATGAGTCTAACTGACATCAACATATAATCTGCTCAAGTATTGGCATCACCATCATCCTACACGTTAGCTAGAGGTGGGGAACACCTCAGCTACTGTGCCGCAACAAGTATTGGCATACTATACCTTATCTACGCTCTTAGCCTATTAAAGGTAAAAACAGGGAAAGTTAGAGACCTCTTTGGTGAGAAAGTTTTATACAATGCTTCTCAGCTTTGCGTTGATGTCTCCACACATTGATCCAATGCACAGTGGTACCCACAAATGAAGCCGATTGGAATTTTGTCCACCGCTTATTGTTTCAGAATCCTTCCAGACTAACCTCCTTCTTGTGCCGCTTTTACTTTTTATTATTTTGCTCCAGCATGTAGTGAGTTCTCAACTTTATAACATTTTATTTCTCCATAGTTGGCCCCTGACGTGTCTATCCACCCTGGTGACTGTGACTCTGTGCGACGAATAGCCGAATGTGGCTGGCTGCTCCTTCAAATACAGCGGTTCATTTCACGAACACAGCAAGATCGTTTATCTGGTCCTATGTGCCAAAGCCTTGCCTCTGGTTTGCACGAGAACCTCACGGAGTATTATCGACTTGTAGCCACCTTAGAGGTAGGTCTTCAGGTTTTTTGTGTACCCTACCCGACTACTTTTAATCTGTAGCCCACTTTAATCCTTCGCGGTCGTCCGCTCTTTTGTTAAATGAAAGCGTGTCATCACACCCCTTGTGACACTCGTAGTTCATTTCTTTCAAAATCATTGGTGCTCTACATTTGTCTTCATGGACGATCTCATCTCATCCACTTGTTTCGCACGGAAATCATCATTATCATCATTATACACGTCAACCGGAAGTGTAAAACAACTCATCTACCCCGCCGCAATACGTAAAAGAAAAAAGAAAAAAATACAACAGTTACATGCCAGCTTAGCTACCAGCAACGGATGGGTACCGTTCCAAAAAGCAACCAGCCAGATACTAGACAGCAAGAAAAGTTATGATGTAAAATTATATTATGCTACGAAATCTGATCGTGGATGGAGGGGGAGGCTAAAAAGGATGGGAAGGGATCAAGAAACTCACAGCAGGAACGCCATTGAGGTCGACTCTTAGCCATGTCAGCAAGTGTATCTAGCCGAACGTGTTCATGGTCTTTTGGTCCCCAACCAGGGAGCTGTGAAGCTCCAACCGAGGCCAGCTCCGAAGTGAGGGCCTTGATTCCTCTGGACCAAGTCATCGCTTGACCAACCCTCCTCTTCTTTCATCCACAACCCCGGCGCGCAAACAACGCACGTCGCATGAGTCGGTGGGCTGGCATGCGCAACACGTGGCGGAACCATCGCAGCTTGGTGCGTGAAACAACGGTGCTGAGTGGTCCAGCTCTTTTTCTGTGCTATAAACAAGGCGTCGAACACGCTCGTTGCTCACGCGGTGTTCCCACCAAACGTGAGCCAAAGTGCGAAGGCACCGATGGTCGAGCGGAACTAGCCTCTTTATTTCTGCTCATCTGATGGACGAGATTTCGTCACCGTAGAGTAAGGTCACACGTACCGCTGCATTGTACACTCTACCCTTCAGGGCGAGAGTGATGTCGCGCTCGCGCCATAGGTGGCGAAGACTAACAAAAGCTCTTCGAGCTTTTGCTATACGGTTCCTGATCTCGTCTTCAATCCCAAGGTCGCTGATACAACTTCCCAGGTTGTGGAATTTCTGAACGACTTTAGCTGATCCCTACCAAGGGTCAGCGCAGTAGGCGATCCTTACCAATCTTGGAGGAAAGCTTTGCACTTCGATGGTGCAGAACAAAGCCCGAAGCGGCTGACAGCCAGTGCTAATCTGTCCAGTGCAGCTTGGCACGTCCGGGAGCTGTCACATGAGGGCAATGTCGTCTGCATACTCCAAGTCAAGAAGTCCTTCTCTTGGGAGTAGCTCCACAATTCCTAAGTTGTGTCCTTTGAACGCGATTTCCATGACTTCGTCAATAGCGAAATCGAAGAGGAATGGTGACAACGGGAATCAAACCGCTGGAGATATTGAAGAGCGGCGACAGTCTGCTGCAAGACCTCACTCTACCCGTGCTACGCGACTATAATGCTTGGATAATATTTGCATATTTCTCGAGCGCACCTTTCCTGAGTATACAGTCCCAAAGGACACACCGATCAACCGAATCAAAGGTACTTTTGATCTCGAGGAATACGACTACGGTGGGCCGCCAATATATGTGACGGTGCTCCAATAATTGACGCAAAGTGAAAATGTGGTCGATGCAGCTACGACCCCGATGAAACCCGGCTTGCTCCTCACGAATCTGGCTTTCAAGAGCGCCAGTCAGTCTGTGAAGGATGACAGAGTCAAGTAATTTGGTGGTGATGGAGATCAGACTGATTCCTCAATTGGTTGTCGCATTCCGAGCGCAAGCCTCCTTTGAAGATGGGAATGATAACGGAGCGGCTCTAGTCGGTAGGGATAGTTTCCTGCTCCCACAGTTTCACTAGCAAGTCGTGTAGATCATAAACGAAAGCGAGGCCTCCGAAATTGAAGAGGGCTGAATGAGGATCATCTGGTCCCGCGGCTTTGTTCTACTTCAACAGTGCGATCTCACGTTCGACTTCTGAGCGAGAGGGCGGATCCAAAGGGACAGCCCAAGGAGCAGGGCGATCACTGGTCGGTGAGGAATCGAATAATTCAGGCCGAATAAATTGCTTTTCGTAATGCTCAGTCCAACGCTCCAAACGTCTTGACAAATTGTAGATAGGCTGTCCACTCCCGTCACAAATTGTTTCACTAACATCAGGTCTCCTGCTGCCCGTTTCCCGTATCAGACGGAATAACTTTCGATGGTTGCCAAGGGCAGCGGCTACTTCCATCTCTGACGCAGGAAGACGCCAACAGAATTCGCGGTCTCTCTTCACGCTAGCACGGAGTTTTGCTCGAAGCTCTTTGCGAGTCTCATTATGCTCGCTTCCAGCCTGACTATACCGACGCGCATCGATAAATTCCAGAGACCTCAAAGAGACCCAATGTCCATGTTGCCTAGTAGACACACTACATGAGGGTTTGCCTGCTGCTGGTATGGTCTGGTGAACATGAGAGCAGTGACCGTCAATTGTCTCCAGTGAGCGTTTACTCAGCTCGCATGTCAGCGTACTTTGATACGCATTCAGAACAGCTGGCTTCGCCAGTTGGCTGGTGTCAATGCGCTCACAGCGTCGTCGTGGGCGTCCTCCAAAACGCATCCGCCCAGACAAATGCATGGTCGGTGTCCACACCTGTGCTCCAAATCGAGCGACAGTTCTGGATGCAGCCTCTCCAGCGGCAACTGATTGCAATGTGATCGATCTACGTCCAACGCTGGTTCGAGGCTGGTGGGAGGCAAGTCACCCCCCGGCGGGTACTGTATCGGAAATCAGTGCTCGCAAGAAATAAGCGAGCAACTTCACACAAATGAAGTAACCGCTCACCGTTATCATTACGGGAGCCTACACCATGTTGGCCGCCCAGATGCATTTCATCAGTGGACAACTTTCCAACTTGAGCATTCAGACCCTCAGAAGGCACAACAGTGTTCGAGCTTCTTCTGTGGCGTAGGAGCTCGGTCAGTTGGCGGTAGAAGTCGTCTTTTACCGAATCATCGCTAGAGTTTGTGGGCGTGTAGGCAACGATGATGAGTAGACACCTATCAGTTCCGCGCGACTTCAAAGCTTTGAACGATCGAGCCAATCGGACCGCACACATCCGGTTACTGACTTGGATCCAATCAACCAGAGCAGCTTCATTCCGGGGACTCAGGGCAATACCAACACCAGTTTGGCCCGTGCTCGAAACTGCATCGTCACCGGATAGGCGCAATGCGAAAGCACTGCTGGTGTCATCTGAAGGGACTGGAAAGTGGGCAGTCTTGTAGGCGGGTCTCCGATAAGCGGTAAATATCGATGGAGGGGGTCACTAAAGTTCGGGCAAGTGCTGCCTGTTGACCGATCTTTGGCAGTGTGCGTACATTGAGGCATGCCAATCTGAAGGACGATCGTGGGTTCCAAATGGAAGTCGATGAAATGGGCTTGGCCGCTTGGTCTGACATGGGCTTGTCGACAGGGCAGGAGTGCCGCTCCGCGTTTTCATGTGAGTTGAAAGTAGAAGATAAAAGCCTAGCAAAGCAAGGTGGGGGAGGTCCAAAAATCTGGGAATTGAAAGCGGGGGAATAATAGTGAAGCTGGAACGGGACGGTAAGAGAAAAAGCTTACTAGGGGGCATAAAAATATGGATAGGCTTGAGCAGTAGCATCCAAACCCCTGTCTACCTTGCTCAATGCATCAGGTACACACACTGCTCGATGCATCAGACACACACACTACACACGTTACCCTGTGGTGTGAAACACCTCAGCTACTTTGCCGCAATACACAAAAGAAAAAAGGGAAGAAAATGCAACAGGTGCGGGCCAGCTGTGCTACCGGTGACGGATGGGGATCGTTCCGGTAAGGTAACTGCCGGCTACTCTGTAGCAGAAAAAAATTAATTTGCTGTGCAAAATTTTAAAGGGCTAACTAATGAGATCGTGGTTGTATGAGGAGGGTAATAGGAATGTTGTGGGACGAAGAAACTGACAGCACGAACGCCATTGAGATCAGCTCCTAGCCATATCAACAAGTGTATCCAGCCAAACCTGCAGCAGATAGGGCACCGTTGATTGTCCTCTGCGGCGGCCAGAACAATGAAATAATCTCCTTTGTTCTCAAGATCACTCCCGTCACTACTTGCCACACTCTCCGATTTGAATTTCATACTTTGTGAGAGATTTGGGAATGAATGTTGTTGGAGCTGTTTGTAACGGACGTTACCTCCGATTTCGCTCCCCATCCACTTTGCCTCTTAGCAACGGCAATGATCGGCATATTCCACTGCGACCTACCAAAATCTACTCTTCTGTCAGTGTGTGCTGTTGCACCCCTACCCTGAAACACATTTGTTTCTTCCGCAGTTGGGGTTTTACCTAATTTTTTTTATCTCACTATCCATCCACTGGCTTATGGGTTATATTTTTCTGCTTTAAAAGTTAATCGTTTTACTCTCGAAATATTCCATTTTTCATTCATTTTGCTTTATAAACGAAACTGTCACTATGCGATGTTTGTCTATTAACCTCGAAAAGCAGAAATTAACAGTCGTTTATGTCGTATTGCTCTATGTGAGACTAAATCACAACAGAATGACCATCATCTTGCTGCACCGAGATTTAAATTTTGGTTCATATTCGAAAATTGTTGTAAACTTCAGATGCCCTTACGTGCTTTTATTATTGTGCTAGATTTCATATTTTGTGGGCTGTATCACCTGCCGATTCCTATTGTCTTCTACGTTCTATTAAGCATGATTTCATCCAAGTCTTGCGCAACGATTGTCGCAATCGAAGGCAGCCAGAGAAATATACAACCTTGGCCGATGCATATCGCAGCCAAAATTGTTAAACTGTGAGCAGTTCTGGATATAATAACACGCCTACTCGCCTGTATTCTTTCCTAGCTTCAACCTGGCCTTCTTCACGTTCTACTTCTGACAATCCATTGTCTCACCTTCCTAATTCTTCCGAAAGCGCGGAACCAACTGAGGC